CCGTTAGCTCTTAGCACCGTTAGCAGTGTCTGTAATGACTCATTAACTCTTAAACGGTCCGTGAAAAAAATATTTTTTTCCAGCGGATATCTTAGTTACAACATGATTGAGCTAGCAAAGCAGTTTTGTGTTGCGATGTGTGGTATTTATTCAGTTTTGGGAAATCACGATTTCTAGAAAGCATCAGTGGCTGCAGCAGCAGCAAAGCTAACATCAGGACGTCATCTGTTAAAAGCCTCCCGTTGTCGGATACAACATGAAACTACTCCAGTTAGCTCAATCATGTTGTAACTAAGACATCCGCTGGAAAAAAAATTTTTTTTTCACGGACCGTTTAGAGTTAATGAGTCATTACAGACACCGCTAACGAGGCTAACGGTTAGCCCAGCTAATCTACGATAACCATGTTATTAATTTCAGAACGTGATAGTAATGTTTGTTCAATCATTGTGTTTATAGACTTTACAAACACCAGATTAGTCTAAATGGTGATATAGTGATGTGAAAAATGTGAGATATGCATATATATATGTAGCTAAACTACGCTGGTTTTCTACCCGGAAGTATTTGTAAACAACAAGGTGATTCCCTCCGAAAGGACACTAACAACTCAAAGTACACATCAAATAAAATTTCTCCAAACACGTTTCTTGGTATTTTAGGTAGTTATTATCACGCTATTGTATGTTCAAGTGTCCATTTCCCCCGATAAGTTGGTTTTAATTCGTTATTTGATTCTATAAACACAGTCTGACCATCTCGAGCTTTTATTTTGGTACTTCCGGTGACCGGCAGTGTGAATTTGCATATTAGCTAAATATTTAGTTTCACCCAGAACATTTATATTTATATTTAGCATTTAGATTTAACATTTATATTTATATTTATATTTAATATTTAGATTTAACATTTATATTTATATTTAGCATTTAGATTTAACATTTATATTTATATTTATATTTAATATTTAGATTTAACATTTAACATTTAGGTGCCACATTTAATATTTAGATTTAGCATTTAGATTTAGATTTAATATTTAGATTTAACATTTAACATTTAGGTGCCACATTTAATATTTAGATTTAACTATTTAATATATTTCTAAGTTAACAAATATTGCTGTAAATGTGGTAAAAGGTGAAGTTAAAAAATTCACAACATTTTTTTAAACATTGTTTGAAGCTAAATGTGGCAAAATGTTGATGTTATTTTCAGCGTGAGACACTTTACAAATGGCACCCCATATTATCTGTGTAAGGAAGCTGTCTGTTTCATTTCACTCAATGAGTTATGGAGTTGTCTTGACCTGAATTAGTGCTTATGTTCTTGTTTCATTACTGTTTGTTAGGGCTTTTGTATAGTACGTTGTGTTAGCGTTATGTGCTTTGCTTTTATGGTGATGTCACTGTCTTGCTACTTGTGCTTGTGTGCTGTTGTCCTTGCTTATGTGCTTTGCTTTGTGCTTTTGTGTGTCTGTTTGTGGCTAAGTGCTTTGGTCTATGTTGTGTTTTCTGTTGTACTTTTGTATAGTACGCTCTTAATGTTTTTGGTCATATGGTTATGTCATTGTTTTATTAATAGTGCTTATGTTTTTGCTCATATGCTTTGCTGTGGGCTTTTGTCTATGGTTATATGCCTGCTCTTTGCTTATGTGCCCTTCTGTGGACATGCCATCAGTCTGCTTTTATCTGTGCTTATGTCTTTTTCTTGTATACACATATACCTGCCAGGGACTGCAGATGAAAATTACCCTGTATGGCTAAATCTGGCACATTTACGTGACTTAAGTGATCATGTTCATTACTGTGCGCTGTTCCTTTCTAAATAAAATTAACATAAACCTATCTGAAGACAGCCCATGCAAACGTCTACATTATTATCACAGGGATGTTCACTATCACCCATTTTCCCTCAGGGTTCCTTTTCCCCCTCTTCTTCCTCCTCGTCTCTGCTATTTCCCACTGTTTCAGTTTTCCCTCTCTGCCCCATCCCCCAGCCCTCTCCTGAGAGACAGTTAGGAGATATGTAGACAGATCAGGCATAAAGGCAGATGGTGAGAGCAGAAAGAGGGAGAGATAAAGAGCGACAGAGGGAGAAAGCGAGTGATGGACGGAGAGAGAGAGAGGAGCTGGGTCCACAGGCAGGCCATGGGCAGTCAAGTCAAGAGTACAGCTCACTCGAGCAGGCCAGCTGAGCTCCTCCACAGTCTCATCTACAACAGCTGTAAATACAGCACTACAGTGGGGAGCCGATGATGCTACTACACCAACGATACAGAAAATATGTAGGAAGCCTTCACACCTCTCTGTGCTTTAAGAATTCATGCTGGGGCAGTAGTGGCCGACCAAGCAATGCCATAGGTCAAGTTTATGTTCTGGATACAGGAGGATGGTTGGAGAATAGCAAACAGTAGCAGGATTGTGAGGCTATGAATTGTTAAATTCATATGGCTACAATGATGTGTTTGAGGGAGCACAGGCTGTGTTGTATGAGCTTGTCAAGATGTATGAACACCAGAGACGTCATTTTGCAATTAATATTCCTTTCTCTCATATTAACAAGTGTGCCAAGGTGGTTTATAATATCTATAATAATAAATAATGATGCAATCTTTGAAGTTGAAGGTAATGAAACTACTACTCAACAGTTAGCACCCATCGAAGAACAAGAGTGACACTGAATCTCCCAACAGTGTCTTCATCCTCCTGCTTAGGAGCACCAGTCTCACATGCGTAATTGACCTAAAAACTGAAGACGCTTAATTTAGACATTGTTTCAAGTTGTCCTATTTAAACCGTCTCATCATTACTGATTAAATGGCTTCCCTTTCCCACACACACAGACAAAGTGCATGCACATGAACGTGAAGAATATACAGCCAGACTGAATGGGAGAGACTCCAGTTAAACCAATACTGAACCTGTTTAGGAGGTTGTGTATTGTCCTGATGGCGTCCCATGGTACTAGCTGAGTGCCTTCTCTGCATCATTCGTGTCCAGTTTGAAAACTCAATCCTGGTCTCGCTATCTAGATTCCTATAGATATGGTACAGCAGCTTTATGCTCGCTTTTCTTCCTTAAACCCTTGTTTCAAATGTCACAGTCGTAACAATGTCGATCCAGAGCAAATGACATTTCAATAATGTAGTCCACAAACACTTCCTCGCCCTCTCCTCTGCTCTGCTCTCCTCTTCTCTGCTGCTTCATGAACCTCCCTCCGTCCTCTCACCCGCCCCTACCTCAGCATCTGCCAATTGCAAATGTTCACCATTGGCTCAGAAATGAGAAGACCTGCAGTACGCTGAAATCAGTTGTATTGAACATACCTGGTTGCCAGGATACATCGGGACAAAGATCAAAGTGACTCGACTACGGACCATAAAGTTGTTGTTCGGGGCTCAGTTGGCCACTGATACTACGCCCACTACTTGTCAGGTGTTTCCTGTGATAGTAAGTGATGCATGACAACTGAGCAGCGAGTAATGTGCATTATCAGAACAGGGCTTTCTGCATCAGGAAACTGAGGTACATATTGATTCATTAAAAGTCTATTTGGATGGGAGGTTTGTTCTCGGCTAGAGCTGGAGCTGCACGTCCAGTATGGAGAACATTATTGATGATTTAAATATTAAACTCAAAGCACACTGCAAAGCAACCCAAATGTCGACAAAAGAGTCAGACAGTTAACAAAATGGAACACGTGTTAATATCAGCAAAGTGTTTCAGCGATGGAGAAAAAATGTTGCAGATAGTTTAGCCCAGTGGTTTTCAAACTTTTTGTGCCCAAGGCACACCAAAGGGCAAGCTAAAATCTCAAGGCACACCTGTATTTACATCTGTGCACTAGCTTATATAAGGTGTGTTATCACCCTTATCCCAGTGTAAGACAATAAAAATATGAAAAAATAATACAGGTAGTAGCTTTGGTGATACTGTCTACTGACATCTTTTTCTCTGTTCTTTCAGTGGTCGGTCGTCTTTGTTGGTGCTTTGTTGTGATGTGCTCCGTACAATAAAGCAATCCATTGTTCCACTCACAGCTTTCTCCTTTTAAATGTTATCATCCTTCACACTGGCTGCCAATCAGGGCTTTGGATGTGTCACACACATGTAATTCCCACATGCGAATGGCAACAAATAGGTTCCCCATGAAGGTTTTTTTTTTTTTTTAAATTAAACAAAATTACACTTTTTAGCCAGAGTTTGCCTCTTTATGAGGAAATGGATGTGCACAACATACTGATACAGTCAATTAAAAATTCATTCAGAACTTTTTTGTACAGACCCAGTTGACTATTGCCATAATAATGTGTGATTATCACAAAATCCCATGGCACACCTGGACTGGCATCACGGCACACCATTTGAGAACTACTGGTTTAGCCTTCTGTTAACCGTAGCTAAAGGCTCAAGGTTGCTGCTTCAAGTTCACATTTATGTATTTTTATGTAATGTTAGCTAATGTTAGCTAGAGTGTTGAATCACAGTGTGGCCCTTGCCCCACTCCCCGCTCAGTGTTATCCTGTGGTGATAAACAAAATATACATAAAACAGCTTTTTTTTGTGTGGGCCAATGAAACCAAATTCCTATCGACTATGTTGAAATAAATGGTAATCTTGAATCTCATATGAAATGTTAAAAATTAAAACTAAAAAGGGCAATGAAAATATGTATGACAAAAATAATAAAAAAAAACAACAAAAAACGCTCAAACTAAACTAAAATTCTTTCAAGATGGAAATGGTATCGCCAAATCTCTACTAATGGACCCATTTCTCCCGTCATATTGCCCAACCCTACTTTCAGGCATTCAGCTAAACAACCTTCAAATCCTAACACATCTCTGAACTCACACACTAATTAAAATTAGCTGCTTAAAAATGTCCTGCAGTATCGGGTCCAGTGCTATTGTACTACACTCAAATGGGAAGAAATTATGTCAAACACACACACACACACACACATTCTTCCTCTCTTTCCCTCAGGGCTGCACTGACCTGCGATCTGCTCAGAGCTCTCTTGTAGTCCCATTCTGGCTGGCACATAGTCTGGAGATAGAAAGACACAAACAGAAGCTCCCGTCAGAGACCTGTCCACTATGTGACACAATACAGTACTATCTAAGCACACTTCTTTTCATTTCTTCTGCTGTCCTTCACTTCCTCCTCATCATCCCTCTCTCCATCATGCCATCTAAAAATAAAAGAAGAGCAGGCGCTGCTGATGAAGAAAAAGAAAAGAGCACATCACCCTTAATGCTGGAGGGCTGATCCACATACAGCTCCCCACCGCCACCACCACCACCCCCTCGATCTGTTCCCTCACTGCAATGATTTTCCACTTTTGCTCAATAAGAGAAAACTGTAATTCAATTTCACAGTCAGACGATGAGTTTCCGAGTGGCTTTCTCTAAATATGAGCTTTGAAGTCTTTGGAAGGCACCTTTAACGGAGCTACGTTACCTGTTTCTTCCTGTTTCCTCTTTGTGCACCCAGAATACAAGAGGGGTCATTAAAAGTTGCAGTAGATAACAAGTAGTCCCAAATGGCAGCAAGACGTAACTGTTTGAATTGTGACGCTTCAAGACAATGCAGAAATCATGGAGCACGCTCTCCTCTGATCTACATTTCATGTTGCTAACAGCAGGTGTAGTGGGGACGAAGAAGACTGAATCAAGAAACTAACCATTGCTGTGTTGGAGCAAGTTGAGCATTTTGTGCTGTAGTTTTGATTAATTATTTTATGTTCATAGAGAGGGTTTCATACAAGTGGTTATACCTGACAGTTGACATTAATTTGGAATCTACGGCATCTTAGTTAGGATGCTCTTCTAGGTTGCATCCCCACTGTGTGAAATAAAAGTGAGTGGGTTTTTTGCATTTACAAAATCTGTCCAGTGGAGTTTTACACCACACAGGGTTTCATCATTTTGGTCCCTTGCCTTCCAGGGTCTGTCACCACAGCAAGAAGAAAGATTGATCGCCAGCATGCAACCTTGCTAAGGTTTTGTTGCTTGAGTCAAAGCAACAACAAAAAGTGTTGTATAATGTCTTATCATATAAAACTGCATTTCTTAATCAATGAATGTGGCCAAATTAAATAGGGTACATTTTTAACATACAGATATCAACATGAAACCTCCCAAGTTTATGACTTACATTAAGACAATTGTTTTTTGTATTACAACTTTTCCAAAATAGTATGTTTAAATATACAAATGATGCATTATCTAATTAAATATCCACAATTTTGCATACATTTCCAGAGCAAAAATCTGAAAATTGGATTAAGTTAGGTTCAAAATTATTGTTTCATTTTGTTGAGTCAAATTAGAGTCAAATGTTTTTACAGAGGGAATTTTTAATTTCTCTTATCACTCCATAAATCAGAGAAAAACTGCCAACAGCCATAAAAAAAAAAAAAAAATGTTTTTAGGAATAAATGTTGTTAGCTTAAATAATGTATGTTGAGAGAATGTAAAAAAGAATAAAACTGGAAAGTTTGGTGTACGTAAGTGCTACTGAAGTCGAGATTTTTGGCTCAGAGTATAAATGATGTACTGTAAAATTCCCAAAACTTTCAGACAAAAAAAAAAAAATGAATTTAGACACTATAAATATATATGGTCAAATGTTTAATAGATATCACCATGACACTTCTCCAGATGACTACTTCTATTTAGGCAGTTATTTCTTTGCATTACAAGTTTTCTGAAATTTTACATGTAAATATGCAAATGAAACATCATCTAAAAAAAATGCACTTTTTGCATTAATGTACTAAATTAAACTAAACTAACTAAACTAAAATTATTCAACTTAAATACACACCTAAATTGTATTTTTGATGTTTCTTCTCCACTAATCTGAAAGAAGTTATGTTATGGAAGCAAAATAGCTCAACATCTCAAAATTTACCATTGCATGTTTTACCTGGCGTGTTTCACCTTATTGAAAAACTGTGTCCCAGGTATCAGTTTATATTTATATCACAGTAACAAGTGACACCTTCATGCCTAATGATGATACCAAGCTAACTGTTTAATCCTGGAATCAGAGCTCCCTAAGAAAGACTCGCCACTCTGGTGGTCTTTTAAGCAGCAAAAAAACAGACAAAAAAACCCCCCAAAAAATCATAAAAATTGTAATTTCAAGGATTTTGTATAAAATAATACCATATGGTTAATATCCTAGCTACATTAAAGCCAGCTTCAAAAGATTTTCACCCTAGAGGGACAATGTATTAGTTTGGAGAATGATCTAAAAAGGAAATACGCCATAAACAAAGAAAATGAGTTCAAAACAGAACAAGCAGAATTAAATGATTAGTTAAGAAGTAGGGAAGAATATATGATACCTATAACCAAACATAAGTGCTATGCAAAAGGCAGCAGACAGAGCCATCTTTTGGTACTAACTCTCAAACAACAAGAAGCTCAAAGGTCCAGCAAATAGATGTGCTAAACATGGAGGAGTATCTTCAACAGAGGAAATAAATGCAACATTTAAGAATTACTACTTGCAAGGACTGTATAGAAGTGGCTCAGTTCCTACCAAAGTTGACTTCACCATTTTTCTTTTTTTTTAGTGAATTAGACCTCTCTGTGTTGTCGGTAGAGAGAACCACATCTCTGCACTTTTCTATTACACTGGAGGAGCTACTTAAAGCAGTCAAAGCTACAAACAAGGGCCGTACGGCAAGTATCGATAGCATGCCGGTGGAGCTTTTCCTTGCAGTTTGGAATATTTTTGGACCAATATGGTTAGAAACACTAAATTACGCTACTGTAAAAGCACTTTCCTCGGATACCTAAACACAGCCCTAATCATAGTTAGACGCAGGTAAACCTGGTAAGGACCCCTTGAAATCAGCCAGTCACCACCCAATCTCACTGATAAATGCTGACTTTTAAAATATTTTCCAAAGCCTCAGCCAGAAGACTTGAGACAGTGGTTGGGAAAATAATTATCCTAGATCAAACAGGTTTTATCAGAGGGCATCTCGCCTCTGATGACATTCACAAGCTCTCTGAATGCAACACATAAAATCTCACCTGCCTGTGGCCTGCAATTTCTGGGTGCTGAAGAGGCATTTGATTGTCGTCAATGGCCATATCTTTGGAGGGTTCTAAAGTAATTTATGTTCCAAGATGAATGTGTCAATATGATTCAAACACTGTATGTTAATCCATCAGCACAGGTTTGTGTGGGAGGAGGCTATTCAGACTCATTTGATATAGAACACACACATGGCACGGGGACCTTCTGTCCCCTCTAATCTTTAATATATCTATCGAGCCACTTGTGCAATTAATTAGAAATTGTCCTATCATAATAGCATCGCATTCAATATCATTCTATGCAGATGACTCATTCGTTTATATGGCAGATGTTCAACAAACTCTCCTGTGTATTTACTTCACTTGAGCACGTTGGATGTTTTTCAGGATACAAGAAAATCAACACTGAAGCTTATTAATACAGACCAAAGTAAGGTGTCTCCTCCTCCCCAGATAAATGTTACAAATTAGGTTGTTTACTTGGGCATTCAAGTTAGTACTCCTCTATTATCTATGGCTAAAACAAGTTACTCTTTAATTTTGAAAAAATACAGGAAGATATTAAAAGATAAGGACACCTCCATGCATCAGTCTTAGCACGTATATTGGTCATCAAAATGAACATCTTATCCTGCATTAATTTTATCAGCTCAATGATCGCATTTGCACCTCCAGCAGGATATTGGCAAAAACTGGACTCATTATTACAGCGCTATGTTTGGAATGGTAAACAACCAAAAATAAAGTGATCAACTCTTCAATTCAAAAAGTCAGATGGGGGTTGGGCATGTCCAGATTTTAAATTATATTACCAGCAATTTGTATTAAGAAGTCTCAGTTATTAGATGGAGGATAGAATTTCATTATGTAAAAATACAGAACAAGAGTTAATAACGGCAATATGGTTATATCTACCATGGTTTTTATTATGGTTTTATAATTTTAACACATATACTACAAGTGTTTAAAGCAGCAGAAAATTTTCTAAAATTAATATTCATGCAAATCATCTCAGTTATGGAACAACGGTCATCTTCTTTCTGCAAGGAAACCATTCACTAACACTGGGAGGATAAATGTATACAACTGTTGAAGACACTGAAGCACTGTCCTCAATTTTCTAGAATTCAATAATAACAATTCAATATAACATTGATGAGCAGTCTCTTTATTTCTACTTCAGAATAAGTTTAGCCTGTACAGACTATGGGGTTCTCTAGAAGTCAGATCCAGAAGACCCCATCCTAGTCTAACTTGGTTACAGAATACCCCAAGACGGTTAGTGTCATACATCTATAATAAATAAGTTTATGCCTACATCAGGATCGAAAGCTTGGGAGAGGGATATATCTGAATGTGGGACAAGATTTAAAAGGGGATGCAATTTGGAACTATGTCGCTGGTGCCCAAATGACCAATATATACATTTGAATTTTGTCATGGAGCATATCTAATGCCAAGCATAGGAAATCACATGGGACTGGTACCAGAGGGAGTGTCTCTGTTTATGTGTTTATGTTGCAATAAAAAAACATAAGTGATACAAAAATGTTATTTCAGCTGGACATTAAATAAAGGCTTTACTTTATCTTTCATTTAACTGACTGCATAAGGTCAATGTGCAGAATGTTGCTTGTGCAAAAAGAAATGGATTATTCTTTTGCTTAATTCTTGTGAATAATTATTATTTAAAAACTGGTCCCAGGCCTAGTGTGCATGTCTGTGTGCGTCTGTGAGTGTGTGTTGTGTCTGTGTTATGCCCTAGCTGTCACAGTTTGTAGGCTGATGTATAAAACGGCATAAAATGAGGTGACCTGACAGTGCGACTGTCATCCACTGGAGATGACTTTGCATCTTGAATGGCAGATGAGATAATCTGCCTAATACAGCGGATTCATGTTTTATGTGAGCCCCTCAGGACGAGGGGGGATGTTGTTTAGAAGAATAACAGCACTGTAATGCAGAATCACAATGAACTCCATGATCATG